ATTCAGTGGCCAAGACTGAATGGGGGCACCCGGCCGGCCGGCCAGCCGCCACCCGCTCCACCGTCCTTATTTTGGACGTCGTCCGCCGTTTGGCGCTTCATTAATATGCCGCAGTGGAGGGCCTTTGTTCGGTCAGAGCTGAGCTAGGGAAACTCCATTATTGCTAGGCAGACCTGTATACCATTGCAGTGTGCCTCCTTGAATGGAGAGAGCCTGCTCGTCACAGTTGGTAAATGTCTTGACGCTCAGGATTCGTTCTAAAGCCGGTAAGTGAGAGGGTTATGCGAGCCAGTGAAATGAATTAATGACAGCACACGCGCTGGATTGAAGGCAAAGAAGCCCCTCGCCGAGTTTGCACTCTTTACACATAGAGATGCTCATTAATTTTGCTGAGCTGTCAGTTAGGCACTGACTTACAATACCTATGAAAATGCAATAGCAATGCTTGTAATACCTATGAAAATGCATTACGAATAGACCGTTTGTATTCCATACCTCAATCACATGGGACGGTTGAAGCTTAGTTTTGATTGCAGTTTTCACGACCATTTAAAATGTCATTATACTCAGGTGCAATCCTTATGATCAAATAAATTGTCTCTATTTCCTAGTGTCATTTTTATTTTGTCAGGCTGTACCACGACAGTTTAAATAGCACGTAAGCTGCCTAGCAGAGGGTTGGAAGCTGAAACACAAACGAAAAGGTTTTTGCAAGTATATAACGTTTCAGTACCGAGGATTAAAAGAATAAAGCGCACCAGCAGCCCATAATGTTCTCTAACTGATATTAGAGAGCCGAGAGGGAATGCTTAAATGAAAGATAATATTTACTGTTGGATCCAGAAAGGCGGTCTTGGACGCCGCGGTGGGCATGTCCCCAAAAAAGGTTTCTCCAAATAATGAAAAAAAACTCATCGGATTTCGATTCCTTACGCGCTGCTTGTGCAGTTTAAAATACACTTTTTCTTATAACAGTTGTTCAGTTTTCCTTTTTTCGAAGAATCGCAAACTTTTGTCGAATTTGGACGCTGCGGGGAGGAGGGGGGGGGGGGGGCATTCTGGATCCGCCAGTAAAAGTTAAATGCGTATACACACTACGCAGTACGCACCACGTTTCGTGCCGCGCTGCGTCCCGTCTGCTAGTTTCGACAGCGGGCGCTAGATGGCTCTCCTATCGTGCGCCTGAAGCATGCTGTGCCGCCTAGCTCGGCCGGCCTGTAGCAAATCTGGCCGACTCTCAATTTCGCCGACGTCGGGTCGTCGCGTCGTGGCCGTCGGTCACGGGGTTCCCGGCCGATTGCAGCCGTCTGTCGCCGGGAAAGAGCCTTTCAGAGCGTCAATTTCCGCCGGCATTTCCGTCGTCAGCCCAGCAGTGCTGCGGCCAAACACGACCTTGCCGTGACCGAGCGACAAACAATGACATCCGGCGGCCGTGGTCAGTTCGAAGGGATTCATGGTGCCCGCTGAATCTGCTCGTACCTGTAGTCTAAGAATGCTCATAGGTCGTTCGTCCCAGATGATGAGCAAATGTTTTGCGTCATTCTTTCGGAGCAATATGTTTATATGTTAATATGTATTTAACTTTACGTTCATTGCAATTTACCTTCTTTTTGAAATGCACTTTCATCGCTCTCCTACATCTTGTAGAACCCAAACAAATAACTGATATTACATGCATCTCATTCAAAATTCTATTTTAAAACAGTTAAAGGCCTGGTCCTGGCATTGCAAAAAATTGCTTTTTCCTGTAGCCATTCCATTTGGAATGCTATTTTCTAATTAATCTCTTGCTCAAGCTAAGATTTGGCCCACGGCTCGCGAATTCCAACTGTGTAGTTTCACGTCACTGTGGTCCCTCGGAGTATTCGGCTCAGCCAAGCCCGGTCTTAGCACGCCCTGTAACAAGGCTATGAGTCGCACTTTATTGCAGGACACAAACCTTCTAAATTCCTGGAGCCACGGCGAGCTTGCAAATTACTGGATGACACATGCATTCGCTGCAAAATTGCAACATTCTTAACAAGAAATAAGGTAACAATTGTTAGTATGAAAAAGAACAGATTTATTGTTTTCTAAAAAAATGGCATTTGGGAAAGCTGACGTCATTTCAGCAAAAGCTTCAGCATTAGGGTAAGGGCGGGTAAGAGTACGCGGGCGATAAGAGTACGCATCAGCTGTTTCAGTTGCTTAGCAACGCGGGTTTGTCGAGTTCATGAAGTGACATGAAGCCGCCAGTGCGTGCATGTCACCAACGGAACGTGGGCGTTGAGCGGCGACGCTGTTGAGTTTAAGGCGATGAATATTATTTTCGAGCGTTATGATATTATTATGATATGGTACAATAATTTTGATACTTGGCAGTTGAGATAAGGTACATTTCCGTGATTGTTGTGGGAAACTTGTGAGGTTATCTGGGGAAATACTGTACAGTGCAATATTCTGTTTGCGAAGTTTTGCACAACGTTTCGGGGTTGTTTTGTGCGCGAATTGCATGTACGGTAAGAGGACGCACTGTTCAGGAGGGTAAGAGTACGCAGAATTATACATTAAATCGAATATATAGAAATATAGAATTATTAATCTATCGCTCAATGACGTTTGTTTTGTAGGTATATCATCAATGGAGCACTGTGATGCAGATGCGTACACGAAATTCTTCCAAATACGAGCTATTCTCCTTTTTGATTGTGCATTTTTTTAAAGAAACACACGACATGATTATTTCCTGATTTATAGACTTGAAATATTTATTTTATGTTTTTCTTTTTGGATACTTGAATTAACTTAAATGCCTTCTGAGTTTGAAGTTAAGCATTTGGACAGTGCAAGCTGCATAGGTGTGTTTTCATATGCTTGCGTACTCCACCCGCCTGGCGTGCGTACTCTTACACACCCCATATGGTAAGAGTACGCAAGTGCAACGGTTCAGAAAATGTCAGTTTTAGACCACTTCCATTTACGCTGAAGGATTGTTGCCCCATGGGTTGATGGCTAATTCAATGAACTTTAATGTTCCCTATTTGCGATTTCTTTCCTTCAAATATTAAACAAATGAGAGCAAGAAATCCACTAAGTGCGTACTCTTATACGACTTCACCCTATGTTTAATTTACATTGAAGCATTATGAAAAAGAAATAGAGAGAGAGAGAGAGAGAGAGAGAGAGAGAGAGAGAGAGAGAGAGAGAGAGAGAGAGAGAGAGAGAGAGAGAGAGAGAGAGAGAGAGAGAGAGAAAGAGAGAGAGAGAGAGAGAGAGAGAGAGAGAGAGAGAGAGGGGGAGGGAGAGAGAGAGGAAACATAGGAATGATTTTACTCTGATTTTTATTTTGTTTATAGCCTTTCCTTAGATTTTGTACGACATTTATATGTAATATTTCAACACTTAAATACCTTTCAAATTCCTTTATCCAAATGCAGATAAGTTTCCATGCAGTAGGTATATGGCCTATATGGGTGAATTACTATGTGCGACGTGCGAGGCTCGAAACCTTACCCATTGAACCACGGATATGACGTCGCCTCGTCTGCGCTGAGATCCCATGGACATTGATCAGAGACTTAGGATCGATCCCCCGCGCTCACCAGTTTGATCTCGTGACCAATGTCCGGCAACGCGTGACCCCATCACAGGACGGAACCGCGGAGTTTCCCTGTGTGCCAGTTAGGAATTAGGGTGACAGAGATGAACCACCCCCTCACCAGCGGTAGTCGGTACTGACCAGATTTGTCAGTACCGACTACCGAATGGGTCGGGATGCTCTGCAACATGACAATAATCTGAAAACAAATATAACAACATACAGCGCAGTGAACTCAGAACCAGACTGTTTCTCGTGATGACTATCTCCGAACAGCACACCATGTTTTTCTGTTAGCGCGTTTAATGTGTAGGGAAGTGACGTGATTCTCGCCCGCCGAAGGGCCCCCCCCCCGTTTTTTTCGCGATTACTCCGAACACATTGGTGATAGAGCTGAAATTTAGCATAATTGACATTTGATTCAAGCCGGATCTTTTGACACCAACCGCATTTTCGGTTCAGGTCAGGTCAGGGTCACTGACCTATGACGTTATAAGTAAACATCTGCACAGTCTTCAGATGTCGCAACTTCGCAGCACCCTCAGTGTCAGAGGAGCTTTCACAGGGAGGTGATACTTATAGGATACTATGTACAGGACCTAGTATCCTCCAGAAGTCTCACAACCTTTGCTTGCATATCACAGATTTTTCCTAAAGGTCACATGAGGTCAGGTCAGTCACGTGACCTCACCATTATAAGTCAATGGGGGAAAATGAAAACTGCTATTTTGGCGCCGGGAACGATATCAAATTATCTTAACCACACGGAATCGTGATTTCATGCACTCCTCTCAAGTTTGGATGCTTCACTTTTGCATTGTTGACCTTGCGTGACGTCATTTATGACGTCATGCAATGACGTCATTAGGGTCGTAAATTTTCGTCAATAACTCCTGATCAAATTGCGCTAGCGAGTCGGGAAAGTCACTAATGGACTCAGGAAGACCTGCCAAATCGAACGATGTGCAACATGACCTCCTTTGACCAAGTTCGTGAGTGACAGCTGGGGTCCTGAACTGACCGTGACCCGAGGTTAACACCTCAAGTTGACCTCACCCAAACAAAAAAGTATATCATTCGACTCGCCTGAGTGAGACGAACACGATGATGCCAAATTCGCAGTTCTGCGGCCGTTTTTTCGACGTTATCTGACAAAACCGTACCCGTACCTTAGGTCACTTGACCTGACCTAAGAGGTCACTGCTGATATGAGACCTTAAATTCGGATACCAATCGCTGCGTATTGTAACAGCGCACACGCTCGTTTTTCCTTGACGCTCTAGCTATATCAGGGGCGAAATGGCGAGGGGTTAGTACCCACCCACCCCCTCGGCCGGCGCATATGTAGAAAACCAATAGGTGCGGCGAGGGTTAAATCATTGGACCTATGACCTGCTGATATGCTGCCTTCTTACATTCACAGATTATTTGAGGCGCATCCAGAAATGCAGGGCAACTTCAAGTCGTTTCGTGATCTCGACCTGGAAGACCTCAAGATGTCACAGGAGTTGCGACAACATTCATCCAGGTAACTGGAAACGTTCTCTTCTTACTTATTTACGTTCTATTAATTTTACTTTCCCTATCAATTTACTTTCGCTTCGAAACGGACTGGAATGGACTCTGCATTCGATGAATGGGTACCCGGAACTAAGCGCACGAAAGCCCGACGATAGAATTTGTAATTTCAAAGCACACACTTAGGTCAACTAAGATATTGCCAATTGGAGTTCAGATAGCTTCCATAGCTCTACAATAGAGGGTCATCGCCTTCCATCATGAGTCGGGCTGTACGTTTGAGGCCGAATGGATATTGACTATTGAAATATACATGCTATGCTGATTCCGAGTCCGATCAATCAAGGAATTGGGAACGGAAGTCGGACTAATCATTCGGACCAGAATCATAAAAAAGATTTAACACGAGCGAACACACACATAAACGGGTACACATACTCAAAATGAGGAGGTGCTATCGAAGGGCTCTGTTGTAGGTAAAGCAGCTTACGCGGCGCTGAAAACCCTCACCACTCTTTTCTAAAAATGCGAATTTAAAGCTGCGCAAATGGTGGAAGACAGCAGCCGAAGGGCGCAGATGTCTATGGTTTCTTCACAACCATGTTCCAACCATGACCGATGACCATTAAACATCCCCTGCACTGTTCTTGACCAAGTACTACTTGGAGCTCTCATTTTCCTTCACAGTTGTTATGCAGGGTGTTCTTGATATCTGTATAGGCAAGTTATTCAGAGATTCGCACCTTTTTACATGCAATAATTTTGCCATACATGTAGTTTCAGGTATTGAAACTACATATTGAAACTACGTATTGAAACGCCCGAATATATATTAGTCTTTAATTTTTTAATTCCTTCAGATATGAGCAAGAGGTTATTTTTCATACTCCTGATAATCATACATGTAGTGTTATATCTCTTCAGTCCTACGCTATACCATGATTAATTAATGATCATGAACGAAAACACAGGTAGGCATACGAATATGAAAAATATGATGAATGGCTTTATCACTCACGTCACGCTGCACGTGCTTTCCATGTGCCGATCCCGTCCAATAAAGCACCACGGCACTGCATTCACAGAGTCCCTGGGTGTGCGGTATTTCATCTGTAGCACCGCGCGCCACTGCAGCAGCAATGTACCCAGATCCGCTGCGGTGTTATTTGATACACCTTTTCCCGGAGCATGGACATTCTGATTGCATGTATTATTTGATTATGTGTGACATTCGCGGATAGGGTGCAGCATTGCGCCGCTCCTGGTGGAAAACAATGACGCATGGATGTTTTATTAAGGCCATGGATATGTATTGTATTGGGTACCTACGCGCCTATTTGGTTTGTGCTTTATGTATTGCTAGTCATACAGTAGGGGCATTTGCGTCTAAAGGTGCTGTATATCAATTGCTCCTAATGTGTTTTTTAATGTTGAAATCGACACTTTATAGCCTTGTATACGCATAACACTTTTTAACGGATTAACATACAAATTATGGCTGGCAACTTTTAATTCATGATATTGTCGTTCCATTGCAAGACAATGCTGACGGCGAAATAACTTTCTAGAGCATTCATGCAATCTGGCACGCCTATACACCGCACAGTATCCAGCATCTAGCAGCGCAACATCATCAGCGACACATTTCCAAAAGGTCGCCCGCAATCAATACCTTAATCCGGCGCCGGTCAACCCGCCTGGAAACGTGACAACCACCGGCGCCTCTAAGCGCCTTACCAGTTCGATATTGAGCTGATGATCTGTGTTATGGGCGCCTACTGCCGGCACGTCATTCACCCAGCGACCTGCCGTGTGTTATTGACGCCTGTTCAACGGCCGATTGTCGCTATGGGACCACGGTGCGAACAACGATTGGCATCAGACGAGCGACAGACGCGTCCCTGGCACGATGGGGCTGATAGATAGGATCACGACCGGGTTTTTAATGTTCGTGAATAGATCGCGGCTGCATGATAAGTCCTCCTGAATCACCTAACGTTTGTTGTGAATATATTCACGTCTGTCTCCTCGTAAGCTGGTATATTTGTCTTCCCAAGAACGAGGGGTTTACAGATAAGCCTTCCCACAGGTGATAAGGTTTGTAACTTATGGCGTGGATCTGTGGTACCACAGCTCGTGATTCGCTCCTGGCAATGCCGTTATTGGCGGTGTGCTGTTTGTGAATAACGTCACGACTTTGTCCCCAGGGTGACATGGGTTTTGTGAATAGCCTCAGAACTGTGTCCGCTGGGATTCATGAATAACATCACGGTTATCGCCCATAGTGATGTGATTCGAGAATGAGGAGAATAAATGACCGTGTCCGCAGGATGACGTGCTTCGTGAATAACCTCACGAATGTGCCGGCAGGGTGATGGGTTTCGTGAATAAGCTCATCAGCCGACTGGGAACGGACGAGCAGCTGGACACACTGACACTGCAGCTCTGTCAGCGGCACCTCGACTACGGCGCCCTGCCGCAACATATGACGGTGAGGGACTGAGTGCAGCAGCTCATGGCACAATCAGTGCAACCAGTGCAGCCCAAAGTGCAAGCAGTGCAGCCCATTGTACATGATACATTTCGTGCAATCCATAGGACAAGTCCAGTGCAACCCATTGCAAACAGTGCAACCCATAATGCAGCCCAGAGTGCACCCCGCCACAGTACGGTGCTGTTGACATTGCATTATGGACAGGATCCTAACGCGAATATCAGGGGGCCATCAGATGCCAATCAATGCCCAACGGAACACTGAGTCGTAAGAAGTAGATCATAAGTTTTTGGTCACTGAAGCTATATGAAAAAATTAAATGCGCAACGCAAATGCACTGTAATGCTAAGGCTATAGAAATAGCCAATGCTAAGCGTTCTAGAAGCGGTCAAGACAGGCAGTTGTATATAACTGTAAATCCAAGCCATGTAGACAACAGTGCAAAATTGTGATACAAATAGAAGGCAGAAAGTTTTAGTTTTTCTTTACGGGCAAAGTTTCCCGCTGAATTTAAACGAATTCGAGAACAAAGCATTGCATAGTGAATCCAAACAAGAAAGAAAAACAAGATTATCTTTTCCCCCCAGTACGGAGACTGAGAAAGAAACACAGGGGCACTTGCACGATCGCAAAACGCTTTACAGTACACTCCTTCTCGTCTTTACAAAAGAACCGCTTCAATGGGTTTCTTAACCCTATTAGTGGCAGGCTCCTGGCTACCCCATATTAGTGGCAGGGGGGGGGGGGGCTGTTTACGACCCCCCCTTGATATCTCGAGATCTAACGGGCCGATTTTCAAAATTCAAACGGCATTCGACTTGGCTCAACGAGATCTACATTTCTAAAAAAATAAAATTAAAAAATGTCAATAGGGGGGTAGAGGGGGGTAAAAAAGGGCAAATTGCAGATACATTTTAGACTGTTTATCACGACCAGGTTTCTGAACCAATCTTAACGCAACTTTTGCCGATCGATAGAGAATGAACCAGGAATTCACATGGATCCTAAAAATATGCATTTTCAAAAATCATAGGCGGATACAGATCATTGAGATTGGGGGTACACAAAAAGTATAGTAAATAAGGTTTTTGTTGGTACTGTTTCTAAAAAGGGTGGCAATGGTCTTGTTATGTTACAATTTTCTTATGAGAGAACGACTAAAATTGTATTGGTCATGCATAGGCGGTGTCAGGGTACCTATGTTGGGAGGTAAAAAATAACCCCCCTTTTTGGACGCCTGGATCCGCCTATTATAGCAAAAACGTGTCAAAAGAGGATGCACAATAACTTTGTATATGTTATCACATGATACCTTTCATTTACTGTTCGTAAAACTGGTGCAGCATCGTGATCTTCGCCCAAATGACTCGCTTCACGAATAGGACCCCCCAATTCCCAGTGCCCTGGAGCCGCCCCTGGTAAAGTTATGAACTTGAAATTTTCAGGGAATGTGCCCAATTTAGTTTTAGGAAAAGTCAGAAAATTTCAGCATCGTAGCTTCAGCGGTTTCGGAGATATTCCCGAAAAACCTGAGGGGTGGATAAAAACAACCCCCCCCTGCCACTAATAGGGTTAAAGCATCGTATTAAAATTAATGACTACAACAGTTTACTTATGTACTTCAGCATTCAAAACGACAATGAATGTACCTTATTAAAATAAACTCCATAACTATAAAAATAAACTCCATAACTCCATAAGCGGCCCTGGTGGCGCAGTTGGTTAAGGCGTCGGCCCGCGGTGCGGGTGGGTCTGGGTTCGATTCCCGGCGTCACCCGTCCCGCGGGCGTCGTCCCCAGCTGTGTCACCAGGAGTGGGGTGGGCTCCCACGTTAGCCGTAGCCTAGGGAGAGGGGTAAGGAAGAGGATGAGCAGGAGCCTTCCTGTAAGTGGGCGCATTAGCCTGTTGGAAGGATGACGAATTAAATAAACAAAATAAATATAATAAGAAGGTAAACACATTCAGCGAGAACAGGTGCTTCGGACGAAGGTTATTGTACGCACGAGCCGCCGTTTATCTCCGTAGTGTGTGCTCGGCAAACTGAGTGACGCAATGAAACACGAAGAACTAATGGCTGTTTGTTGTGTCATTGTATTACTGTTTGGCCAGGCTCACGATATTGCCTGGACTGTTGGCGGACAGCATTAGAGACAACGCGGCTAGGAAACATCCTACGAAACATTCTAATTGTCACACTCGACGGGAAAAAGAATGGCACTCCCGTCGCCGTTCCAAACTTATATGTGAGGCATAGCTATGCAAAAAGTAAAAGTTGCACTTCATGTGCAGATATGTGAGAGCTGGTAAGATCTCAAAATTGAGTAGACGGCGTGCAGAAAAAGCACATCTACGATTTAAGAGAAAACGAAATCAGTTTTTCAATGCATTCAGTCTAATGTGGTTATGACATCTCATTTGTTTGCAGACTAGTCATCTCGCAATGCAGATGAGATACCAAAATCCGGCTTGCGTCGAGCACTGCTTACTCCTTCTTTGGCGAATACGAGCATCACATATAAACAGGTATTTTGAGTCTGCACATCAGAACTTTATGCGCAGTGCATTCCCAATCAGAAATACAAAGGGCGGCTAACGTTGGCATCTGTATTATAAATAAGAAATAAGGACTAGATTATTTAATGGTGTGGAAGCAAATAAAAAAGAATTATATAGATGGTAAATTGATCAATATACTTTTTAAATCAAATGGGAGCAAGGAGAATGCCAGGTAGACTTATCCAATATCCATACCATCATAGCGCCAGCAGTGTTCTGAAACCGTCCCAGGCCGTCTCCGTCAGACACCGTGGCACGTGAGCCGATTGAGGCGCTCGCAGGCTTCTAAATTATTGATGTGTCTGCAGTTGAGTCCTGCTAAGCCAGTTACCCAATATGCAAATGTGATAAAAAATGCAAAGATTGCCTCCGTTAATCGTCTATCATGAAAATATGCATACCTGCACATAGCATTGGAAGCTCCAAGGAAATACAGTTCCATATGTCTCTCTCTCTCTCTCTCTCTCTCTCTCTCTCTCTCTCTCTCTCTCTCTCTCTCTCTCTCTCTCTCTCTCTCTCTCTCTCTCTCTCTCTCTCTCTCTCTCTCTCTCTCTCCCTCCCTCCCTCCCTCCCTCCCCCTCTCTCTCTCCCTCCCCCTCTCTCCCTCTCCCTCTCTCTCTCTCTCTCTCTCTCTCTCTCTCTCTCTCTCTCTCTCTCTCTCTCTCTCTCTCTGTGCTTTCGTCGACAACATTTTAAAGCCATCACAAAGGAGCGGGACCGAAGCTATTGTTGTCAAGCTTCGTATCCGCTTTAGAACCTAGAAAAAATCAGCTATGTGATGAATTGGTGTAAACAACATGAATGTCTATAAGTGCTTCAATTGCTCGTGCAAACACTTAACACTCGTTTATATCTGTTTATCCAAGTTATTAAACCGCCGCGCGTTCGCCAACACTAACAAAGGCGAATGCTGTTCGTAGGAGGCTGGGATTAAACTTATGTTGACCACATGCTTACTTCACAGATCATTGGTGACCAGTTTGTCAGCGTGCTCCGCTCCACACTAGAAAACGAGGGCTCGTGGGACGACGAAACGGAAAAGGCCTGGCAGAAACTGTTCCGGGTGAGTGACACCATGTAAAACACCCTGCCGCAATCGGTTCCGCGCGAATGCTGCGACCTGGCCGGACGGGAAACGCGTCTGACGAGGCACACAACTGATTTCAGCGGCGAGCCCAGAGCTCAGCGGAAGGTGCACTATGCAGAATGCAATGTAGTATGTTTATGCTTTCTGCGATGCATTGGAACAGAGACAGATCACTTGCGCTTCACTGTTGCATAGTGCGCACATATGCTATCAACCGAATCTGTTATGACACGGATGGTAGGTTCTGAAATAAATATCCAATATTCACCGTGAAGTCAGTTCCATTACCTTCAGAAACGTGGAACGGAGAAAGACGATGGCGTTGCCACTTGCCAGGCAAAGTATTTTTGCCAAGGGCGTTTTGCGAATTGATAATTTCTGAAAATAAGAACTTCTTAAAAATAAATATACAAAACCCAATTTAATACACATAAGACCAAAAAAAGAAACTGCAAAGCTTTTCGCCGTCTGGCACCAATATCTTGGTCTCGACATGCAGCCTGATTTCGAGAGACCTGCTGCCTGTAAGGGAGACGATTTAAACTAGTGGTGTCAATTACGGAAAATCGGAATACCGATACCAAACCAAATACCAACAAAAACCGTAGGGAAATACCGATTCCCATACGCCGAGATATCCCTTTAGCATTATCCTAGCCGTGCGGGAAACATTTGCACGTGATCTTTCCTGCACTGTTTTCCGGCACGGGTTGATGACCTACAGTTCTGGTGATTTTTTTGATAAAAATCTTAAAAAAGGTGATTTCAATAATTAAATTGTGAGTTTCTGAATAGATATTAAACGACGTATGGGAAATATCTTACTGAACTTGCTCTGGGAAGAAAAATGGAAACCTCGGTCTTCAAAAAACCTCCGGCACTCGGCTACGCCTCGTGCCTACAATTTTTTAAAGACCTCGGTTTCCATTTTTCTTTCCCAGAGCCGTTCAGTAATATATATTCCCATACACCGAGATATCCCTTTAGCATTATCCTAGCCGTGCGGGAAACATTTGCACGTGATCTTTCCTGCACTGTTTTCCGGCACGGGTTGATGACCTACAGTTCTGGTGATTTTTTGATAAAAATCTTAAAAAAGGTGATTTCAATAATTAAATTGTGAGTTTCTGAATAGATATTAAACGACGTATGGGAAATATCTTACTGAACTTGCTCTGGGAAGAAAAATGGAAACCTCGGTCTTCAAAAAATCTCCGGCACTCGGCTACGCCTCGTGCCTACAATTTTTTAAAGACCTCGGTTTCCATTTTTCTTTCCCAGAGCCGTTCAGTAATATATAATGAAACCAACTTGGGAAAATGAGGGAAATACCAACTTTATACCGATTTCTTAGCCTCTTATACATTAGTGATGGTTCATGATACCAACAAAATACCAGTCACATTACGATTGAAATACCAAATAAATATCGGTTACCAAATATCGGTTTGGTATCGGTATACCAAAAAGTCGGTATCCGATTGACATCTCTAATTTAAACCGCCATAATTTCGCTACACATTTATCCTCCTAAGCCCAAATCGGGGCAACCATATAACAGCGGGGCGAGCACCCCGGAATGCCGATGAATATCATTAGGAAGAACAAAAGATTCGGCTTCACAACCTGATTACTATTACTATTTTTTTTTTTTTTGCTTGTGAAACTGGTTGACTTGACAATAACCTCCCAGTGAGAAAAATAATGTTGGTACACTACAATCCTTTTATTGCCTTGATACTCCCCGTATATTTGTTTCAATAAGTGATCTTTTTATAAGACCACAAACGTTCAGACGCGACGGGATGTCAGCGAATGCTTTTTGTCTTTCAACCGATTGAGCTTTGAAAAACTGTTGACATGTAGGCGTCCTTATTTGCGGTGGGAGCAAGGTAGCAGGTAGCTTATCATAAGTCAGCGTTTCCAGATTTTTTTTTACGAAGGCGTGGCGTGCTAAGTCTGTTGGGAACTTGGTTAAATGTCAATCACTCATTTCCAATCATTAAGGTCAAGGTGAATTAAGAAATACCCATTTGCTATGAAGTCATTACCACCCGTCTACCAATAACGTTTGAGTTTCGTCTAATATGACGATTGACGACCGCACTCAACCCCATCACTTCCTCTCCTCTGCTCTTATAGCGAATAACCACTTGGTTCAACACGATCTGACCTCTGACCCCGCGACGCGCCTGTCTCCAGATACTGGCCTTCACATACGAGGCGATGCACAGCGAATGGTCCCGGTCAGCATCGCGGCGGAGTGCCAGCCAGCGTCATCCCTGTCTGGAGCGCGTCAACGGCCTCGGCAGTCCGTCATCGGCGCCGGGCACCTGCTGCGCCCACGTCATCGAGTACTGAGCGTCATCGGCGCGTCATTGACGTCAGTGGCGTCATCGTCATCGGGTGTCGCTCCTGTGACATCAGTGCGCTGTCGGGGCGGATATGCGACTGGCCCGAGGCGCCACTCGTGCAGATATTGTGTCGGGGCGGCGGCCGATGGAATTCAGCGAACGGTGAATGATCTCAATCAGCACGTGTCCGATGCCGTGGCTGGGTGATGACGCTGGATGATTATGTGGTGGCTGTTTAGCCCGACTGTGCTCCGCCGCGTGTCATTGGATATCGGCATTGTTCTATGAGCATGTTACTCGACCTGGGGCGTTTCACGTCCGGGACAAAATAGGCATAACTGCTAGTGATTCAGACATTTATTTCAGAACTGACTTTGATTATCAGTCGTGGTAATCGTACTAGATGGACCAGGTAATTGTAGCTCGCATGAAAGTGATATGTCTGAGCGGAAAATATACGAACACAATAATAGTACGAGTGAATGGTCCCCAGCGATCAGTTCGGACGATCCATGCTCCCCTGGTCACCGCTGAATGGTGGCTGGCAGTACACGGAGATCCTGTTTGCTAGTGTTATGACGTTCTCCAGGAACCCATTTGCCCATTTTCGAACAAATGATGATGACGTTATAAGGCCATTATCCAATCACCTCCAGAGAGAGACGTTCGAAGTATGTCCTAGGACGGGCATTCAGCTGAGCACTCCTGGTCGGAAGAGCAAATCTGGCAGCGATATACCATGAAGCTATACAAGCATGAGGGTATTATAGTTCATTTCCGTTAAGAGCTCTGCTTGTTCTAGAGGGAAATCATATAAAGTGGCTTTGCAGACAATGCCATTAATTGCAGCTCGCTCGCCGCGACAGGGCGAGGCTTTTCATGTCGCACATTTTCGGCTGGCACCCGGATACATTGCATAACATCAGTAATTTCCTTCCCAGACGCTCTGCAGTTTTCTGCTATGTTGCCGTCCTCGAGGCATTTTCAGGCGAGCTGATTGCCAACAAAGTTTGGGCTGGCATGCTGTAGTACCTTAACAATGTGCCGTTTTATGTTTGGAACAAACACAAGGGTCCGTATGTTGTTAGCAATAACATTGCACGGACTTTACGCCATTATACGCTACGGCCTCCGAGTGTATTACATTGCTTAAAAAGACAGCGGTATTATTTGCCAAAGGCAAAACACTACCGATAGATTTGTTAACTCTGCTTGCGTCTAGCGCGCACAGATGTATCGCTGGGGCTCAGAAGCACAGTCCAAAACAGTCGCCCTGTCGATTGTCCGTCGCCGCTCTGAAATAACATCAACTGATCACGGCATCGAGCCCGGCGGCTCACCTCTTTTAGCGTGTAAAAGCCCGGCACACCCGGCGGGTTATTAAAATGCAGCGTCAGCGTCGTCGTGGGGCCAACAGCGCCAAAAGTGTCTCCATTCCGCTATAATCAGCTTGAGAGAACAAAAGAACTTGCTTTGAACAGCTCCCTACATCAGTGAACACAAAATAAATGCATCAAACCTCCCTAAAACGTTTTTTTTTCTGTGACGCAATCCGATCGGAGACACAAAACAAATTGAAAGTTTACATCGAAATTAAAAAGTACATGCCTATTTTTCTGATCGGCTACGGCTGCTGAGACCCGCACTTCAATTTTGTAAATTTTGTACACACTGCTATTCAACCCTTAGGGTGCTGACACATTAGTAGCCATTACGTAAAGGCAACATAACTTCATCTGAACAACTTAATCGTTCTCTAAAAAAACACGTTCAAGTGGCTAGGTGGAAGGAAAAAGTTGTGAACCATATGTAACATAAGCATACACAATACACATACACTTCATCAACAACACGATTAAAAGAGATAGGTATGTAAACCCTGATTCCAAATTACTTTTGTTAAACACAGGTTTAGCACAAGTGCTATTCACGCAATATTCCTGTAAGTGGAAAACAGACACGAACTGCCACAACAAGCTCTTGCGTCCAATATAGGCCCGCAGTCGAAAGTCAGTAGAGCGGACTCTAAGCGACTGTAAAGCCCACAGGACTCTTGAGTAACTGGATACTGATATTAAAAGAAATGATTTTATTCCCCTTTTTTCTTACCCATCATTTATCAAGCGACGTGCTAAAGAGTGGTTTCAAGAAAAGATGAATTTGTAACAGGCTTGTATTAATCATCCACCTAAAAAGTAAAGGTAGGCCAAACAGAAGGTTCATGTCTATTTTCTGCATCATGAAAAAAACTACGCGAAATTCGGTCTGAGTCAAAATCAAATGATGCATATCTATTTGTAAAATACGCACGCGACTCGTGAGCACGCACTAAACGCTTCAAAAACTCAATAACGTGACAAAGCCGATATACATAGGGTAACTGTGGGGAAAACGCACCCCTGGGTTAAACGCCTCCCCTAAAAAAATCGTATTTCTTATCGACGGATAGGTGTTTTATCCTGTCTTTCAGAACAGTCAGCTGCTTGTTTACGTAGGTCTCTATTTCCGGTTCTGAGTCTTGAGGAGCAGCGTGGGTAGGTGCTGATGTTGGTTTTGGATGTTGTTTTTGTTGTTTTTGCAGAAGATTCCTAATATTTTGATGCCCTCTTTACATCACAAACCTTGCTATTGTGCACATCACTCAAAACTGCGTTTTATTGTCATTCTGTTGAATATATTATGCTGCGGCGTTAGTGGCGCGTTTTTTGTCAATATTTTGTTGACCGGAAATGGAGTGGATGGGGCAAGACGCCTACTCGATGCATGGGGCAAGACGCCCCCAGTTTTCTGAAAGGGGGGCGTTTTGCACGGTGGTGAGAGTGCAGGGTAGCGCCCTGTAGGTCGGGGCCGAAAAGGCCTCTCCCTGTCCTTTTTTGCTGATATATCCTAAACGACTGCAGATATCGTCACCAAAGTTTCAGGACTCCTCCGGGCATCCATTTTACACATTGCAACAAAATTTTATTCCAAAAGCTATGATAGGTTGACCACAAATGACGTCAGAACGACGTCAAGTTCTGCCATGTTCATCATTTTCTGTTGATAGATGGGGTGGGGGCGCTTTGCACATGGGTGTGGGCGTATTACCCAGGGTATGGGGCAAAACGCCCTTTTGCAAGGGTATGCGAAAACCTTTTTGGGTGGTTAAATACCACACGCAGGTGTCTTTTCTTGGTCTCAAAACGTAGTAAAAAGAATGAGCTACATGATGGTGCCCAAAGGTTTAAGTAATCTGTGTTGGGTTGAGTGTCAGAAGGTTTCGCGCTTAAGGGGGGCGTTTTTGACCTATTCACCCTATACCAGATCGTTGCACCTAAAATGCTTCTCTGGGACGTGGCGTGTTCACATGATGAGTCCGCATTGCGTAAGAAGCCACACAGCGAATTTATGCTGTCCTTGATCGAGCGATCTGCACTAGTTGGGTTTCGGTGACACTGGGCCGCATAATACTCACGAATCACGATCTTCTATAGGATCTAAGTTCATACTAATGTCTCATGAGACGCATTCAGACGTCATGAGCTTGAAGCTAAATGATTACAACTTTTAACTATGACAAGGTTCGTAATCAAAGCTACAGGTAAGTGAATGGACAAACTGGCCCCAGATGGAGGTCCATAGGCTCTAAAATATCAACAATTACCGAAGGATAAACACGATACTGGTGTTTTATTAGCCGCCTCATGAGAAAGAAATAAAATGATGCATTATTGGCTTCTTAAGGTTGGTGAGAGCCTTGCCTTTCCGAAAAAAAACGTTCAAATTCCACCTTAGTTTTTCATCAAGCCATCCACATACGTTTTTTCGAAACCTTAAAACGACTGATCACAAGGAAACAAAATACTACCGTGTGGCATATAGCGAGTAAATCGACTTGCAAGAACGATAAACAAGCAACCTTATCAGAAGATAGGCACGTAACCAGAAACGCCTCACGTGTAGGTGCCCAGGCTTTGGACGGAGCTTCAACTGTGGATCAATACCTAGCTGCAGCTCGTTGATAGACCTGTGGCAGCATCCTCTGTGCTTCGCGCCTCGCGAAGGGGGTAACTCGCACTCGTCAGGAAACAGAGCGATACGTGTGCGCAGAGGTCACACTTTAGAAAAGAGTAAATATACAATGAGCATGTGAATAACAGAAAGGAAAGAAAAACACACGATGAAGAGCTACGAAACGCATATCAAACTACATATTACGCCTACACAAACATAATAATGCATTTATTTATTTATTCGATGTCATGGAACAACAGGCGAATTGACGCCCAGTAACAGTCCATAGCAGTTATACGTCCAGTAGCGTCGGAACACTTCAATTAAAGGGGGGGGGGGTGCACTGTCGACTTTTGGTCCCATTCTTTCCATGCAACGCCCATAGGGCTAATGTTAAAATGCCAAAATCAAAGTGGGCACGGTGCCCCGGTGCCCTCCCCCTTCCGCCACCTATGGGGGGTAACTCGCACTCGTCAGGAAACAGCGATACGTGTGCGCAGAGGTCACACTTGTTATTTCGTAATTTACTCGCATGTCCTATTGGTCTCAAGATATACGTAAGGGCCCAGGCGACCTGTATATAGTTCGGATGCGGTGAATATCCTCACCCTCGCCACAACTCGAGTGGGGGTGGCGCTGGGTGGGAGGAGGGTTGCACTCGGCCCGAGCTGTGGCGAGGGTAAGGGTATTCACTGCATCCAAAACTACAGGTCGCCTGAGCCCTTGAGACCAATAGTTCACCCATGACCCACAAGGACAGGCTTAACGGCGAGATCGTATAAAACCAAGTACAAAAGAGTAAAAATGCAATTAACCCGCGCCCCGTGGGGGGGGGGGGGGCGAAACGGCCCCCCTGTCCTTTTCCGTCAATATCTCCTAAACGGCTGGAGATATCGCCACCAAACTTTCAGAACCCCTACGGGCATCAATTTTACACATTGTGACCATAAATTTTTCCAGAGGCTATGATAGGTAGGCCACAAATGACGTCAGAATGACGTAATGTTCTGCCACTTTTGACCCAAAAAAGACCTTCGCGAGAAGAGCTGTCAGGCCCACAGATTTGAAGATACCTACAGAAAAATGATCAAGACATAAAAGGTGTAGAAGTGACAGGGCTACAAAACTGCTATCTTGGATTTTTGAAATTTACGAGTTTTGACCCCCAAAAATCAAAAATGCAATTTTTTGGATACATTAGCCAAAAAATCAAAAAGTTTTTTGAGTTTCGAAAAAAACGAAATATATGTGATAGTAACTACCGTCTTCTATCTACATACCAAATTTCAGATCGACATCTCCTTTTTTGGCCAAGTTATAGCGAAAAAACTGTTCAAAAATGATGACGTCAAATTTTCAAACTCAATTTTTGGCACTTCTAGACCACGTAGGGCAAAACAAAGACCACCATTGGCCTCCCCGTGACGAGTTGCATCGAATGGATACCCATTTTATGCAAAAATATCAACTTTGAAATTTG